TTGAAAAGTGAATACAAGAAATGGATACAAAGTTTACAAAAGAAAAAAAGAAATGAGCGTTTATAATAGATAACTGCCCATCACACTCGAAGATTGATAATCTAAAACCTATTTAGCTTATTTTTTTTACCACTGAATACCATGTCTAAACTTCAACCAATGGATCAGGGCGTTATACACTCTTTAAATGTTTATTACATATCTTTGGCATTACAAATACTGGTCATAGCTATTGATAAAAAAAACCCATTTAAAGAGCTTCAAAATCAGATAGAAAAACTTGATAATTTTTACCCTATAGATACAACAGCTGAAGATGCCATTTTTGCAGATGAAAATTTAATGAGCACTGTACCTTTACTAACAGATGAACAGTTGAGAGAAGAAAAAAAAATGTAGCGAATGAACATGATGCTAATGATGAGGAAGATAATGATGATGATAATACGATTGATTCAGTTTTTCCAAAAGTTGCTGATATTCGGGAAGCACTGCGAGTTTTGTATGACTATATGACTGTATGCCCTTCAGTCTTAGTGGTGAAGATTTTCAACAAAAACTCAATGCAGTCTCAATTATATTTGAAGGAGACATTTCTTCAAAACTAAGACAGTGACAACATCTTTTAATTTATGTGTTGTATTTACCTTTGGTATCAAAACATTTGATAACTATATATATACTAGGTTGGTTGAAAAGTTCGCGGAGCGGCACCTATGTTGCAGTAGTAGAAACAAATTTATAACTGTATTAAACGTATTCATTCTTCGTATGAACGCATAAAAAATTTCAAGTCGATATGTCATTTCAGTCTTTGTTTACAAGCTATTGAAATTAGACGTGTCATAGTATTTTTTTAAATGGAAAATATTGAACATCGTGCTGTAATAAAATTCTTTGTGAAAAAAGGTTTAAAGCCCATGGAAATTCATAATGAAATGGTAAATGTGTTGGGTGATGATGCTCCTTCAAAAACAACAGTATGCAAATGGGCTGCGGAGTTTCAACGTGGGCGTTCAAGCCTTGAAGATGACCCTCGCTCTGGACGTCCAAAAAGTGCTACTACTGAAGAAACGATTAATGCTGTGCATGACATGGTTATGGATGATAGACGATTGACCAAACGTGAAATTGCTGAGGCTGTGGGCATCTCAGATGAACGGGTATTACACATCTTGCACGATGAATTACGTCTGAGAAAGCTGTTGGCAAGATGGGTGCCGCATTCGCTAACTCTGGATCAGAAACGCACTCGAGTAAAACTTTCTCAAGAACATTTGGCCCGTTTTCAAAAGAATAAAACAGATTTTGTGCGTCGATTCGTAACCATGGATGAGACTTGGGTTTACCACTATGATCCGAAGCTGCGACAACAAACTGCAGAGTGGACAGAACCCGGTTGTTCAGCTCCGAAGCAAGTGAAGGCGTCAAAATCGTCAAAGAAGGTTATGGCATCAGTTTTTTGGGATGCGAAAGGAATTTTATTAATAGATTACCTTCAAACCGGTAAAACGATAACAGGTGAATATTATAAAAATCTTTTGGACCAGTTGGATAAAAAAATTCGTGAGAAAAGACCTGGTTTGCTGCATAAAAAAATCATTTATCACCAGGACAACGCACCTGCTCATATCAGCGATGTTGCAAAGGCGAAATTGGTCGAATTAAAGTACGAACGCTTGGAACATCCACCCTATTCACCAGATCTGGCTCCGTCCGACTTCCACCTCTTTCCACATCTCAAAAAATTTCTACGTGGAAAGCGTTTCTCATCACATGAAGAAGTCATTGCAGCCGTAAATGGGTATTTTGAAGGCCTTCCGGAATCGCACTTCAGAGATGGGATACATGAATTGGAGAATCGTTGGAAAAAGTGTATTGCTCTTATAGGAGAATATACTGAAGAATCAAGTCATTTTTTGAATCATAAAATTGTTTTTTCATTTCCGCTCCGCGAACTTTTCAACCAACCTAGTATATATATATATATATATATATATATATATATATATATATATATATATATATATATATATATATATATATACACATACAGTCTTGGAAAAAAGTTTAAGATCACACCGTATAAATGCTATACTTTGGTGCCTAAAATAAAATGCTATAACTTGGTGCTACTTTTGATTTTAGCTGCTATGGACATTACTTTAATGCATTTATTTTTTATTTTTGAACCAATTTTTGTGTACTGTAATATCTTTTTCATTAAATTTTCAGTACCATAAAACATCGAAACGAGGTCGGCTAAACCAAATTTTTTTTGCCGACCGCAAACATGTTTAGGTCGGCAGTTATATATATACATACGACCCTAATTCCAAGGGTTGTATGTATATATATATATATATATATATATATATATATATATATATTATATATATATATATATATATATATATATATATATATATATATATATATATATATATATATATATATATATATATATATATATATATATATATATATATATATATATATA